TATTTAATGTAGATTTTTCTTTACCATTTGCAATGTGGTGTTCTCCAGAGCAGCTGATTGGGACCTTTGCGCTTCTCACTATTTATTAATGAAATGTCGTACAGCTTTAAAAAGTGCAATATAACTCTCTATGCAGATGACTGCAGTTTTTCAAACTGTAAGTAATAAATCAGAATTAATTCACATAGCAAGGTCACCGTTAACTAAAACAAAATACTAAAAGATAGAATTGAAAAACATTTTTGTTAGCTGAAATAAAAACATAAACTTCACCTTGTAAAAAAAAAAAAAATCTGGAACTGTAATTAGATTTTACAAAACTAATTAAAACTATCTGGGATTTTATTTCTATCTCTTTCTTTCTTTAATTTTTTTTTCTTTCATTCTTTTTTAGCCTTGCTTCTGATAAGTAGGTAGTATTACATAAAAGACTAAAACTTTAACTGAAACTAATAAAAACTGAACTGGAATTAAACCCATAAAATAACAACAAAAACTAACTACTTAACAAAATCTAGAATATACTAGATATTATGTATATTTAATATATTATATTAAAGCTCAAACTGAAATGAAAATCAGAAAATGAATAAATCAATCAAAAACAATTTGGTTTTAAATGTGTCAAAAACAAATAGAATGCTATTTAAATCACCAGGCCAGTGATGAATTTGGTATTATGCTAAAGGGAATGGAAGCTGGCTTAATTACACATTTAATTCACCTGTCTAACTCTGCCCGGTTTCTCATCACTGCTCATCTGATCCACCAACTCTATTTAAGGTGCTTGCATCCAGTCGTCAAGGCCTGATTATTCTTGCTGTCTCCAGCCAGTGGTGAGTTTTTTTTTTAGAGTTACTTGGTGTTTCTGATTTACTGATCCTGACCTGTTCTGTATCTCAACCACTGAGCCTGCCTTTTACCATCTGAACGGTTTCCCTAAAGTGTCTTCAGGCTCCTAGACCTCTGAGCCTGCCTGTTCCTGTTCTGTTTGCCTGACCTGGCTTCGGACTCCTGCACGTTCTCTGGAGTTGCAGCATCTGGGACACTCTGGGCGGTAGCCGCCACATCTTGTTGGCAGCCCATCGGCTGGATCCTACCTTGTTCTCTGGCTATGGACTGAACTTTTAAATCATGTTAGTGACTCACCTTCATAATCTTCTTACGTTAGATTTACGTGGTCACTAACCTGTGTTTTTCTCTCTCCAGAGTTTCCTGCCTTATATGCCCTAGCCGCTGCCACTGCAGAACCACAGATTGGTGTTTTAAATAAACACTTTTTGAGTAATCCCACTGTCTTGCCTAAATACGGGGTCCTTCGGTTCTGATTAGTGACAAAGGTAGAGCTTTTAAAGTGACTTTTAATGAACAGCTATCTTGGGAAAAAATTATGAAGGTCAGAAGAGACCAAAGATTAAGTTTGGCGAGTTCTTAAAGCAACTGACATGATGCCATTATGATTTCAATTGGTTGCATGGCTTTAACAACATGGTATCAGAGTAAAGGGGCTTGAATGAAAAACTTTTTAATTTGAAAATTATACTGAAGCCTAAATTAATTTCTCTATTCTATGTTTGAAATGTGAAAAAGTCCAAAGGGTGTGAATACTCATGAATTGCAGCTGAGTCATCTAGGACCCTGTCTGAGCCACATGAATCCATCCTGGTCTCATCAGGTTAAAGAGGATATTAAAATATCGCTAACATCTTTAGTAGTTTGCAGTAAAGATCGTTGTAAATTTTAGCCCCATAAAGACTTTTTTACTAGATGCTGCCTACAGAAGCTGGTTGTTGTGCAACATCCTTCACACTGTAAACACATTCAAAAGAAGTCCCTTTTCTATTGATAATGTCAGTGCCAAGTTAAAGGCACTCGCTTGTCTGTCCCTTAGAACTAGATTGCGCAAGTGCCACAATGGTGTCCCATTTAAAGGGGGACGCCACTGGGCCTTCTATTAATGGCACTAAGGCTTGCTCTGCTCTGAAAGGAAAAATGTGACTAAATCTGTACCAAATTCAGAGGTGGAAGATTGGAAAAGCTACCTACAAAACGATGACTTCTTTGAAATTTATATGCATCTGTCCACAAGCTGTAATGGTTTAATGGCTAGAGAGCTTTTCTCTTCTATCCGAGGGGAATGCTATGCAATTCACTCTTTGATCAACTGAACGACTGACAAAAAAGGCATTTAATGCACTGAAACACTGCTCCCCGAGTTGAACTAAGAGAACAGATCATCTTTCAGTTGCCTACACTGAAATACAGCAAGTCTAATAGAAGTGTGACAAGATTGTTTTACCACTAGATCACGTAAGAATCTCATATTGATCATTAAATAAAACCAGCTCTAAGAAGTTCAATCCTGTTGGTTCCAAGCTGTGACTTTATCTGCAGAGGGAAGTTTAAGCTATTATTATGAGCTCAGAATAGAAAATGAGCTTTTAGCTTGATAAACTGTTTTATTTAAGATTTATGCTTTTATTTTGAACTAGGAAGGAAAGCAGTTCTTGACATAATATGATGCACTGATACAATAAATACACCTCAGGGAACACTAACAAAAACATTTAAAAAGCCATAAGCACTTAAAAAAATTATTTGCATCACAGAATTTTTTTTAATTCCTCAGAGAAAATATCAAAATATCAGTAGACTAGCTGCAAAAGATTTGTAAGCAGGTTAAGAAACATCCAATAAGGGTGAATCTGTTTAAATAATCTAGACTGCATTTGCTCATTTATAAAATAAAAAAAATGGAAATAATTACACTGATCAGACCAGAACATCATAATTTCATGTTAAACTAAGATTCTAAAAGATACAAACTGAAATGCAAGAAACCTTAAATCTGTTAGAAAAGGACTCAACCATAAGAAAGAACATTTTAATACTCTCTTCTCCATTAGGACAACTGGTATGTTGACCGCAGAAAAATTAAATATGGATAACATATTCTTAAAAGATAGTTTAGGCTGAGTTAAATATTTCGTCTATCTGTCAGATCAAAACAGCATTGCTAATTATCATCTTTATCCAAAAATACTGTTATTAATCTTGATAGCTTGATATTTTTCTTAAGTTCAAGTGTTTATGCTCAGTAATTTTAATGCTGAAAATTTCTTGGACAAGAATTTAAGTGTTTAGGCACCTAATCATGCCTGCAATTTGTAGAAAAGGGTGAGTGTGTGTGCTTTCTTTGTTTAGAAAGGATATTTGTCACACTTCTTTCTTTCTCTCCAGCAAAAGTACTGCTATTGTTGCTTTCTACACATCACTGGTTATTTTGATACAGGGGCCTGCCTGTTTTGCCACTAAAATTAAATACAACCCTAACAAAAAAACAAAATCTAGCTCATTCAATGCCCTCCTGAAGAAAATAAGCTTTAAACTTTGTCATTTAATCTCAGTTCAAATTGATTTCAAGCTTGAGAGAATCACTTGGAGAACAGCTGCAACTACAAAAGTATTCAATTTATTTATACAGGGAACACATTCTTCAAACTATTTCTATCTAAGGAACCAAGCTGATTTCGAGGACTCATTGACTCAGCAATCCCTAGCATCCCCAGCACGCATGTAGCGACAGTAGAGAGGAAAACTTCCTTTTTAACAGGAAGAAACCTCCAGCAGAACCAGGCTCAGTGTGAAGAGCCATCTACCGAGGGGGACTAGGGTTCTAGGAAACAAAAGCAAATAATGACATTAATGAAATACGTTCTTTGGTGCACGTCCCAAGGCAGAAGACTTTGATGCTGTGAATCCACTTTCACTTGGATGATTAAAGGATTAGAGTGGTCTTGCCCCAGATCCCGGACGTTGGTGGTGGAATAAGCCAGAGGGTGAGTAGGACTGATAATACTCTGAGAGTGAGGGGAGAGATGGGGTGCACACATGTGAAAGCTGGGCCAGAAGCTAAATGAAGGGGATCTGGAAGATTATTGGTTTCGGAGAAGGTGTGGCCCTGAGTTGTTTGGCTGGAGATGAACAAAGGATATCAGAATCAGAATCAGAAATACTTTAATAATCCCAGAGGGAAATTAATTTGGTTATACGCTCCAGTTACAGTTTTATATGTATATATATATATATATATATATATATATATATATATATATATATACATACATACATCCAACTACATCACAGGTTGTTCAAGTGAAGCTAATAAGAGTTTTCCAGATTGACTTTTTTCCCTTAAGCTTCATACTTTGAGGAACATTGGGGAAGAGACATCACCACAAAGACCAAAGAAGACAGTGTGTAACAGTTTAAAGCCGAAACAGGTCACTGTCCTGAGCTTTGAACATCACAGAGCTTTGTAAAGTCCATCATCTGATGATGAGAAGAGAATGGGAAAACCACAAACCTGCCAAATCAGACATCAAACTGACAAGCCCGGACAGAATAGCATTTTTCTGAATAGCACCTAAAAGGGGGGAATCCTGACAGGAGGATTGTCGCCATGTAGACGGCAAGGGAATCTTATGGGAATAAAGTTAAAACCATGGGGAAAAAGATAAGACCAAATTTAAACACGTGCTAAATTTAAAGTTTAGAAAAATAATTTATTCGTAATTATACAGGAACAAGGAGGAAAACCCACTCTAGGAGGAGGAGTTTCGTGACCAACGGAGCAAAACGCAGTGATCATCTGTCCGAACGGTCAGTTAACTGAGTTCGCAATAAAGGCAACTATAGAGTGCTGGTGAAGATTCTCAGTCATGTAGGTCATAGGCATTCCAAAAAAGTAAAAAAAAAAAAACAATCCACTGGACGTTTTTCCAAGTTTGAAGACATTTTGCTTCCCATCCACAAAGTTTTTTCAATTCAAAATATCAGGAATAGCGTTGAGTTCAAGGCAATATAAAGTACCCAACAACTCCTTGTTTTTGTTTAGAAAACATGCAAAGACCCAGAGGAACGGTGCCAGCACTGTTCTATGTGGGCCCCCCGTACTGCAAACCAACCTATCTGAGACACAGCCCTGTGCCCTCACATACTGTGGGCGGCCCGTGAGTAGTCCAGAAACCACTTGGACATGTTATGGCCTGACAGCTCCAGCTTGTCCCTTAGGAGTCCTGGCTGAATGGTGTGGAAAGGACTGGAGAAATTAAAGAACATGATCCTCACAGTGCTTCCAGGTTTCTCAAGGTGAGTCAGAACTCAGAGCTACAAGTTAAAGCTGAGTCTAAATTATGATGTAATTTTCTACTTGATAAAAATGAATTACAGTGGGATAGTGCACTCAGTTTTACTATAACAGCCTAGTCTGTGTGGCTATTAAACCTGGTGTGTGCTTAGAAATAAAACTTTATTGATCTCACAATGGAGAATTTAACTCTCTGCGTTTAACCCATCCCCTTGAGGAGCTTCCACTGTGCGCACCTGGGGAGAAGTGTGGATTTAAGAGTGCCGGCTGCGGGGATCGAACCAGCTACTTGTAACCTTCTCAGAGCACAAGGGCACTGCTCTAACCACTAATCCATCCCTACCCGCTTAACGCATCTGTGTAGAATGTTGCCAACACAGGATTTGCAGCCTTTATTGGGCAAGATTTTCCATGCTGTGTCTAATATAATGGTTAACTTTTGGAGGTCATTGTAGGGCCCAGACCGCAAGATCACAGCAAAACACTACAAGTTAGAGTAGAAAACATTTTTGATTCAACATTTTTATTGCCTTTTTGTGTCATCCAAGAAGAAATGCCATCTCTTTCCAAGAGCCGTTCAAAATCATTTGATCATGGGGATTACTTATGGGCCATATTTCCACTTAGTAACAAACTTTCCTAGCTGCATGGGGTGGAAATTTCAGGCAGCCATGCAGAGGGACATGGATGCAAAAATAGGTGGAGCAAATATCCTTTATTCATGTGGAACACACATCCATGCGAAAGAGCAGGGCCTAACTAAAATCAAGCTGACACAGGGCCTCGCACCCTGCCTGCAATGGCTATGCACTTACCTAAGGGCTTGCACTGTGATATTGCAAAAAGAAAGAAAGAAAGAAGTGAACTTATTCCTAGTTCCTACTTTAATTTTTTTTATTGTCAGGTTATTTTCAAAACCTTGTCTAAAGAAGAGGAGACATCACCAACAAGAGTTCTGCATGTCACATTCAACAGGTTGCATGCTTGCTTCTCTTCAGAGAACATCACACACGTTAGGATATCTGGCCAAAACAATCCAACATGATGAATGTCCCTGATGTATTTTCTAACACAGTAGGGTGACATCCTCATGAAGATGACTAAGGCAGAAGTTCTCAAACCAACGCCTCAAGTACCACCGCCCAACGTGTTTTAGATGTCTCTTCTGTAGCACACCTTATTCAAATGATTGCATGACCTTTTCAGCAGGCATTGAGTGCTGTAGAAGCCTGTTAATCCTTCTTTTGTATATAAGTCAGGTGTGTAACTGCAACATAAAATCTAAAACAGGGTTAAAAGCCACTGGACTAAGGTATCCACACAGAGAAAGAGTAAGGGTAAAGATGAAATGGTGTAGGTACCAGAGCTGTTTGGGTGTTCAGACCTGCTCAGGGCCCTGCCGCTGCTGATGATGTCAAAATAATGGCAAAGCCACTCAGAAAAAACTTATTGCACCCCTTTCATGAGAATCAAGACTTTTAGGTCTCTATTTATCATAACATATATTTGCTATTATCTTACATCTCCGCTGGCGACCTAAAGTAGTCAAAAGTGGAAACAATCATTTTCAGTCTTGACAGAAAGTACAGACTGAGCTGTGATTAACAGATAACGATTGCATTTCGCTGAAGTCTGCAATCTGAAAATTAGATGTTGCTGAAATGTATACACTGAAGCTTTAAAATATATCACATATTTCATTTATTATATTCCTACTGTACATGTCAACATCAGACACACAGTGACCAGTGGCGGCTGGCCAATAGAGGGCACTAGGGTGCACCACTCACCCAATGACCTTGATTAAGACATTAAAAAACAAAATTCAATTATAAAATTTGAATATTTCAAACTATATAAATATATTTTTAGATTTGCAAGATAAATATTTAATCTTTAATGACGAGTAAAGCTGTTTTTTAGTCGGATTGGGGACGTATTTCTGCCCTAGGGTGCAAAAATTAAGTTACTATGAGAAAAAGCAGAGAGAGCATAACGTTAGAGATTGAACAAACATATTCTGCAGAGTGGGAGAATAGAGAGAGAATGAAGCAGATTGATGAAAAAGGGGTCCCTACGTCCTCCAGAAGTCTAACCATATAGCAGCATAACTATAGAGATAGCTCAGGATAATCTGAGCCACTGTAACTATAAGCTTGATCAAAAAGGAAAGTTTTAAGCCTAGTCTTAAAAGTAGACAGGGTGTCTGCCTCACGGACTAAAACTGGTAGTTGGTTCCACAGGAGAGGAGCCTGATAACTGAAATATCTGCCTCCCATTCTACTTTTAGAAATTCTAGGAACCACTAGTAAACCTGCAGACTGAGACCGAAGTGCTCTTTTAGAAACATAATGCACAATCTTGTCTCTAATATAAGATGGAGCTTAGCCATTTATGGCTTTATATGTGAGAAGGTGGATTTTAAATTCTATTCTGGATTTAACAGGAAGCCAATGAAGAGAAGCCAGGATAGGAGAGATAAGAACTCTCTATTTAATTTTTATCAGAACTCTGGCTACAGCATTTTAGATCAGCAGGAGGCTTTTAACTACAGTTTGTTGACTTCCTGATATTAAAGAATTACAATAGTCCAGCCTTGAAGAAACAAATGCATGGACTAGTTTCTCAGCATCACCCCTTGAACGGATATTTCTAATTTTTTACAATATTGTGCAGATGAAAGAAGGAAATTCGAGAAACCTCTTTGACATGGGATTTAAATGACAGGTCCTGATAAAAAATAACACCAAGTTTTTTTTTACTTTATTTTCTGACACAGTTTAATTCCATCCAAATGAAGTGACTGACTAATCATCTTCTATTTTAAAGACTCTGGTCCAAAGACTATAACTTCTGTTTTCTCTAAATTCAGGAGCAGGAAGTTAAGAGTCATCCAGGATTTTATGTATTCAAGACATGCCTGTAATCCATGTAATGGGTTAGCTTCATCTGGATTTATAGACAGATATAGCTGAGTATCATCAGCATAACAGTGGAAGTTAATCCCATGTTGTCTAATAATACTACTGATTGGGAGCATGTATATAGTAAAGAGAATTGGTCCTAGCACTGATCCCTGTGGTACTCCACAGATAACCCTTGAGCATGAGGAAGATTTGTCATTAACGTGAACAAACTGAAATCGATCATATAGATAACATTTAAACCAGTCTAGTGCTGTTCCTTTAATTCCTTCAAAATATTCTTTCTAAAATAATTTTATGATCAAATGCAGCACTAAGATCCAACAGGACGAGCACAGATACAAGTCCATTATGCGAGGTCATGAGAATATCATTAGTGACTTTCACCAGAGCTGTTTCAGTGCTATGATGAGCTCTAAAGCCAGACTGAAACTCTTCAAAAAGTTCATTATGATGTAAGTGGTCGCACACTTGTTAGGCAACTAGGAAAGGAAGATTGGATATAGGTCTATAATTGACCAAGTCATCTCGATCAAGAGACACTTTCTTCAGTAAAGGTTTAATTACAGCAACCTGAAAAGCCTTTGGTACATATCCCTGTAACAGAGATTGATTAATCACATCTACAATGGAGGACGAGATCAAAGGGAAAACCTCCTTAAATAACCTGGTTAGAAGTGGATCTAACATCCAAGTTGAAGGCTTAGATGAAAACAATAGTTTTGCTAACTCTGAAAGTTCAACTGGATCAAAGCAGTCTAAACCTGGTTCAGATTCTATGGCTACCTCAGATGCTGCTTCACCTTCCAGAGATAAACCAACCATAGTTAGTGGAGTGCTAATAATCTAATTTTTTATAAGATCAATCTCAGTTATAAAGAATCCCATAAAATCATTACTGCTAAGGCAGGTGGGATAAACAGTTCAACAGAGCTATGGGCTCTGTGGGTGTACCCCGCCTCTCGCCAGGAGAGCTGGAGATAGGCATCAGCACCCCTCGCAACCAGCCCTCATATAAGCACAAAGGAAAATGGATGGATAGGATGGATGAATCGCTATAATCAGAGAATCTCAGAAGGGAAAGATTGAAGTGGAAATCTGCACCATAGTCTTGTTTTGTGAACCACACATTAGAGAAAGAACATAGACACCCTCTACACATTTCAGTTGTAAAAAAAAGGGTTACTTAAGCTTAACAAGCTTTATTTTCTTGGCAACCTTTATAATATAACCGACATATACCGAAGCTTATTGTCCTTACATGAGTAAATGTTAAAAATATGAAGTGGAAGGGAAACCTTTATGAGTCATTGTATACATGACACCATAGGTCTTGAAGACAAGTCTAAAAATGTCTTCTTCAAACCCCTAACTGTTATCAAAGCGCTTTGGTCACCCTGCTGCTACTAGCCAGTGATGTTTGACTAAACTCACACACACATACAGTACAGTCTCTCACACACACTGCTGGGTAGACATTGTTGTTCATTCAGAGAAGCAGCTTGCTGTTGTAGCTGGCTGCTTTTGTTGTTGAAAGGTCCCCTTGGTGGAGATTCCTTTGGGCCTCAGTCAAAGGCGAAGCATCAATGGAAAAACCAGTGGGGATAAATGAATGGTTCTGTGGTCAGGTGGAGCTGTGTTGCAATATCTGAATGGTGATCACATCACAAAACAATCAGAAGAACGAGGCTAAATAAGCATAATCCAGTAAAAGTGAAACTATAACCTGAGGTGTTAGATAATAGGGGTGAATTATTTTTTTCTTTCTCTAAGGGAACAGTGGCGGAGACATGGGGATTAGTTGTTTACATAGTAACCACCGTTAACGTTAGCTAAGATGAAGCACAGCCAGGTAACATTGTTGCTAGCATGAGGTGAGAGCATCTCTCTGCCAGCCGAGATTCTAAAATCAAACTGTCATGATCGGTTTCACGAATCAGACCCACATGCAGAGAAACCACTCAGAGAACACGGGAAAAGGTTAACAGGTTTATTGAGGTAGCGTACAGGTGTTGGATCTGGTACTCAGTGAGCTGGTGAACCGGAAC